TAGGATGAGCCACCACATGTTATGTCACAATCATGTGATGCGCCCGCGTCGTCGTAGGAGATATTTCTCATACCAGTTACACATGGGAACTCCCGAGCAACTGTCTTGAGGAGATCGATCGCTCCCTGGATCGCACCCATCTGCAGTTGTTTGTTGAGACGTAGATTACCCACACTCGTACACTGTCTCTCCCACATGGAACGCACTTCTCTTTCCGTCGTTTCCACTGATGCTTTCAGAGTTTTTTAAAGAGATTTCTAACGTTCAAGCATCTTTACTATCTTGGTTGAAGTTTCTAATGTAACCATTTCTGGAATCGATCGCACCCGAAGAAGTGAGGTTAAGCGCCCGAACAACCAGCGCACCTTGTCAGGTGGCGGTTCATTTGATTCGATTAACACATGCGCATTCACTTTGGGTGGTAAATTCGCATATTTCGATATTCATATCAGATTCATCTACACTCTTGGGGTGACATCGACTATGTGGGAATCAATAGGTGGTTGTTCGTGGATATGTGTAGTTGTCATTTACTCCCGTTGGGAAGGCACCCATGTGGGTCCTCCGTTCGCACACATCGATTGCCCGCATACCACCCACGTTTGGGCGGCCCAACAATCTTCACCACTTCCTCTCAATGAACCTCATCCGCCACATCTGAAGTGCTCAAGTGTCGTCTCCGGCAGTATTCACCTTTTGAAAATATTATTGAGTTTGCGAAACCCTCTAAAATGAAGGATGTGGCGACAATCTCTTGGCCGAACATCTTTTAACGATCTGAAGGAAGCAGAGTGGGAGAAAAATCCTTAGAATTCCCATCCCCATCGAGACAAAAGTTAGTCGAATCTTTTACTCTCGAAGGACAATAATGTAGTAAGATCTGAGTGATGACTAAGAATGAAAGGGTAAAAAATACTTCAAATTCCTTCCGCTTTTTACATTTTTCTTCCTTTCTTATTTATTCATTTTCTCTCTACATCATCTCATCTCCTAATTATTTATTCATTCTTCTCGATTGTTAGTAATTTCGCACGAAATTGATTGAACCTTTGAGAAATCTTCCTCACAAATGTTCTTTTATACTTCGAAGGGACGTTTCCGGAAGTTGGAAATTTCGTCGTTCGCTTCTAGAAATCGCAATAATCCCGAAGCTTCCAACTTGAGTCTACACTTATCACAAACTTTTGATTTGGATCACTAAGTTGGTTATATTCGCCCCTAAAGCAATCTAGGACATTCGCCATATAAATTCCATCTCTAGTATTCTGATTAATTAACGTGGGACTCGAGATGGAGAGTGCGCCTCCACCACCCAGCTAAGCCTCCACTCTGTGGCGCATGAGAAATGCCCAGAGTTCGGACTGCGCCGTCTCAGGGCACGAAAGGCATTACACTTTTCCGTTCGAAAATCTTCACTGCTGCTGTTTTCGGCAAGAAACTGGCCTAAATAATCTGAAAACTCGGCTGACAAATTAAAACCGGCTCAAATTTGGACTCTGTTTGGATAAACGATTAAGTTTATTTGCTGAACGCAATCGCTCCCAAATCGCTTCTCATGCATTTTCCAGCTATTTTTAAATTATGGCGTTTTTTGAAGAGAACTGAGGTGGAGTGCAGGACAGAATAGAGGCAAGAGCCCATCGCATGAGTCTCCCAGAGTCTCACGGAAAGTACATAATTCATTTTCCTCTCCCATCTATCACCTTAGGGCATGTCCAGCAACTCCATAACTAACGAGTTTGATATCCTCGAAATAAGAGGCGTATGAGACCTGTGGCAGTAGTATCGCTGAATTTTTTAGTTTTCTTACAACGCACCTTTAAAGATTCATTAAATTGTATTAACTTATATCTTATGGAATATGGGTGTAGAGCGCATTGGCTATGGCCGATTTGCAATACACACATGGTGTCGGTTGGTTCGATCTCGCACACCTGCTGAACAAACTTTGTCTGGTGGGAAAAAAAAACGTTGACTCAATGGACTCGCAAAGATCTTGCATTGGGCAAAAGTGGGCGCGGATCTATCACTCACAATTGCTCCCGAAGGTGAACCCTAAGTGACTAACCGTGCGATCCAGTTTTTTATTTCTCCGAAGAACATCGGGGCACTTGATTACGAAAAAGGTCGAGTTACCCAGTAAAAATTCGAACACATTGAAACCACAATTTATGAGCATAAGTGGTGCTTCATCAAACTTCTCCACTCACCAAATCATCGGTCATTTGTTGTTCTAATGAAAGTTCATCAATAAGCTTCTACTTTGCTGATGTCAGTCACAAGTCGAATGAGTCTTCGGCATCTCTCCAATAGGTTATATATGTCAAAACCATTCCTAACTCAATAATCCGATTTCTAGCTTGATACTTCTTAGCAGAAGTTCCAATCTCGTACAAGTCTCAATAAAAGAAAGTGATAGTTTGTTGAAAGTTTCTCATTTCTTTACTCATGCCGAGATTTAGAGAGAGTCGGGCTTTCAAAATATTACCTAGCTTAATAGTCCAGAAAGTGATAAATTATCGTGAAATCGTGGTAAGCATCAGCAACTGCATACCTTTTGTAATCTATCTAATTTATCATACACGAAGGAATTCCATCAAAATTGTGTTCATCCACACTAACCTATTTTATGTAGATGTCTGTTGCAAAACAAATAGAAAGGTGCGATTAAGCCTGTACTCGATACAAGAGCAGACCATCTAATAATTACCGTTATTCACCTTTTTTTTGTGCTCTTTTTTATCATACTTACTTTTTCTGTCTTTTTTTTTATTTTCAATTTTTGGCGTTGAATCGCAGAGCATATTCTCATCTGAGGAACAGGTAATACTGCCGTCCATTAAGTGTGTGGCTTAGCTAAGCCAGGTACCAGTTCGACTTCGTCTCGTACTCATCAAACTTCCGATCAGTATTGGATCAAATTGTACCAAACTTATGTGGAGCAGACCCACTCCTTTTGATGTATCTGGGAACGCTTTGGAACGGCTATCCAGGGATTCGACGAAGAATTAACTCACTCGACCAGCATTCAACATCATCTACAAACCTTTCACAACCAATCAATCACTGTTTTGTTGGTCGTCACATTGAAATCGGCTTTGACTTAGCATTCACTAATTAGTTTTGATGCGGCGAACTGATTTCTTAAGATCATCGCTCTACTTTTCGGGAAGGGAGATACTGGAAAATCGAAAAATTCATGAAAAGGGCTTAAGAATCTTCAAACAAACGATTCTAAAGAACCTTTTGGGAGGACCATGTACACCAAAAAAGGTACCCACGGTGATGGGGATGAAATATGAAATATGGATGGAATATGAATGGAATATGGGCAATGTAATATGAAAATCCTCAAGTGATAGCCGAACCCTATACGCGGAAAATCCGAAGACCTCCGTGTATTGTAAATGTAGGATGTATTCAAATGCAAGAACTTTTGAAATCCATGTATTTACAAGATATCGGCTTATGTAGTAATGAATAAATACAAATATATACCCAATAATTCCGAGATTTCTCATGTTTTTTACTGCTTTTTTGCAGTCAAGATTTCTCTAAGAGAATTAAATTGTAGACAAAAATTTAATTTCAGACTGGGCTTGAACCCGCGTTTCATTCATACCGAAGGCGCGTGCTACCACTACACCAGGCCACCGCTTACTCACCACTCATTCTTCAATATTTCACTGTCACAGCTATCACCCACCAACCATTAAGAGGTGTAGTCGGGTATGTGATATCTTTATGAATCCAGTTAAGCTCTCTGCCATTGTACTTGAATATATATATATATATATATATATATATATATATATATATATTATATATATATATATATCAAGATTTTTTCTGTTTTTTTAACGGTTTCAGTGTTATGATGTTCCATATTTTCGAAGAATGAGAATAAGCGGAGGCTTTGGTGGTGTAGTAGTAGAACTCGTTCGCGGTATGGATGAAATATGGGTTCAACTCCCGTCTGAGGATGAATTTTTGCTTACCACTCAATTCTCTTGGACGAAGAAGCAGTGAAAACATAAGAGATTTCGGATTTGCATATAAGTACAATGGCTGTCGGCTTAACTGGGTTTACAGAGCAATATTGCTCACCCGACCAGACCTCTTAATTGTTGGTGGCTGATAATTATGATAGAAAGATATTGAATAATGAGTGGTGAGTAAGCGGCAACCTCAGTGGTGCAGTGGTAGTACTCGTCCTCGGTATAGGTGAAACGCAGGTTCAACTACCGTCTGAGGTCGAGTTTTTGCTTACCGTTTGATTCTGTTAGGAATATGCAATAACGCTAAGTGATGTGCAAAACTTCGACGTCAGGCAGAATCGAACCTGCATTTCACCTTTCCAAAAGCGCGTGCCAACCAATCGCGCTACCGGCGCCCGTTTTGCCACCGCTCTTTCTGTGCTACAACGCCTTAATCTGTCATCGACCAACCATCAACGGTTCAACCTGGTAGTCGATATCAGCACTGAACCCAGAAGGTTAACAGATATTGGGTATTGGACTATCAAATACAATTCCTCTTTTAGTTAACCTCTTCCAGCGGTGGTAAACAGATAAAGTTCTCGGCGTTGATCAATCCCTGAAGGATACGCCATGCATTCGTCTTCAATTTTCAACTTCGTTTGAGGTGATAATGCATATTTGGCCCTTACAATGACTCGCAGTGGCCTTCCGCTGAGCCGAGTCAGTGCTGCTTATCCTCTTAGACAAGTCTGAGACCATTCTGGTACCAATTTAACGAGCCTGGAGGGATGGATGGCTTGGTGCGTCATGAGCTCGAGATCCAACCATTGACCTCATTTGCGACGCGACCACTGCGCCACAGGCGCTCTCCGTAGCGTTGGTAGATGTTACAAATATACCCAACAATGTAAAGTGATGTGCAGAACTCTGATATCGGGCGGGAATCGAACCCGGATATTGACGTCAGGCCCGAATCAACAGATTGGTGCGTTGTAGTGTTGAGAGAGGGCTGCTAAAACAGGCGTCGCTAGTGCAGTTGGTTAGCACGCGCCCACGGAAAGGCTAAAGTGCGGGTTCGATTCCCGCCTGACGTCAACGTTTTTGAACATCGCTCAACATTATTGAGTATATCTGGAACATCATAGCACCGCTAAAACGATAGAATATTAAGATTTTGTTAATCAAAAATGGAAATGTTCCCGTTTATATAAAGTGCTGTGCAAAAGTTTCGCTTCAGCCGGGGCTCGAACCCGCATCTCACTCTATCCGGAAGCGCATGTTCTAAACCGTTGCACTACTGACGCCCGCTTTCCATCACTCTTTCTACGCTGCTCTTTTCTTCTCGTATGTTGCTGGTGCAGCGCGGAATTGTAGATGAGATTGCAATAGTCCTGTCAAGAATACGTGTACAGATGGTAACTATTGATTGTAAAAGGATTTCACAAGAGCAAGAATTTTTTTTTACCGCTTGATATTTCTTGGCAGCTATGATTCTACAAATATATATATATATATATATATATATATAATCTTTTGTTTCGAGTATTTTCTTAAGACCACAGCTCAAATGTCAGTATGCCTGGTAATTATTTTTGAGCCATGCATGTCAGTGGTCTATCAAAGAGGGCTGGCTTATAGAGCCCGATACAAGTGTTTCAATCTCACGATCTCGTCAGTCCGGTAGTTACCCTTCCTCGTCTCTTTGAAAGACCACTGACATGCATGGCTCAGAAATAATTACCAGGTATATTCATATATATTCATATATATGTAAATATATATGTATATATATATATATATATTATATTTACAAGAGCCGAGTGGCAAGGAGTTTTTGTAGCGCAGGCGGGATTTGAACCCGTGCTTCACCCATCTCGGGACGCATGCTACCGCTACGCCACAGAACTCGTAGCGTTCAATCCCGATATGTTCTGTTAAGCGACTAAACCCAACGATGGGTTGATTGCTGACAGTTTATATGTCACCTTCGATTTCGCAGAAAGAGTTATAGCAGAGCGACCAGTTTGGTGGTTCAGTGGTAGAATGCGCCTACTGATACGAGCGAACACAAGTTCAATTCCCACCTGAGTCTAACAGTCTCTTTCACATCACTTGGTATCCTTGAATTCAACTCAGTGAAGAACTCCAAAGCGACGTCATTTCTAACCAGCTTCGTTGGAATTGTACTAGTGGCTTGATCGGTATGATCTGCATGAGGTCCCGCCACGATTGCGTGCCTACGGTGACTTGTTTCATGTTTTGCAGTGGCATATTACTCTGAGCGGTTCATTTTGCTCTTACTCTCACGTTTGCTGGCGGCAGTTTTTCCCGTGTTGTTTTATGCTTTCTTATTGCATGTTTATTTCCACTTCATTCAGTTTCAGAGCTCGGTCTGTGGATCTATTATCGATTGATATTATCGATCGATTCGTACTTCGTAGATCAAGACCGAGGGCGATGGACGATCGGCTTGGATATGAGGTCGTCAGAGCGCTTGACTGTAGCGATGTGGTGGTTCCTGGGGACGGGCTGATTACGTCCGTTAAGCAAGAAGAAACCGACGACGCGATTCTGTCGAATCCAGAAGCCGATCTTGAGGACATGCTCCAGCAATTTGTAAAGAAGACAAGGGTTTGTATCTTCCAGTGAATTATACGGAGCATTTGCTCCTATTCTCTTATGCTATTTCTATGCCTTCAGAATAATCAAATAATTAATAACAACGCTTTTCTAGCGTGAATACCCAGCTGGTCGATTTCTCAAAAAGGAACTCGACTACATAGCCGAGACCTATTGCAATAATTATGCCACGTTTTATCATTCAACGGTTAGCGGTGGAAAAGATAAGGAAGCGATTGCGGTGAGTTTAAACTTCAATGAAACTTTCTTTTCTCTTTGTGCTGCAGAAGACAGAGGAGCTCTGTAAGCTCAAATAATTAACCATGTATATACATGTACATATATATGTACATATACATGCATATAGAAGCATACACGTATATATATATGCGTATACATGTATGTGTGTACATGTATGTACATACATGTATATATGTGCACAGATACTCATGTGCGTCTGTGTACATATGTGTATGTGTGCGTACATGTATGTGTTTGCGTATATAAGTATATGTCCACGTATATGGATATATAGATGTAAACGTATACACAGTATGGTACCTACATGAATATGTATATCTATGGACATGTATACGTATACGTGTATGTGTGTACGTTTACATGGATATGTGCATATGTGTATGTATACGCATGTATTCATATGTGTATGTGTATACTTGGACGAATATACGTAGATGTAGTATATATATATAATATATATATATATCATATCTGTATATTTATGTATACGCAAATATGTACACGTATGTCTATGTATATATGCATATATATGTATGTATATATATATTACATGTAGACATGATAAGTTGTGTAGGAAGTTCTTGCCGTTTTGGCTTTCTAATATGAGTTGGGGCACTTTTCCATTAGACGGCGCAGGATGAAGAAACGACCCCTTCAGCTGGACAAGAACTTTTCATGAGGATAAAGGATAAAGGATAAAGCTCTCGGCGTTAATCAATCCCTGAGGGATGCGCCATGCATTCGACTTCAATTTTTAACTTCGTTTGAGGTGATTGAATGCATATCTGGCCTTTACAATGACTCGCGGTGGCCTCCCGCTGAACCGAGTCAGTGCTGCTTATTCTCCCAGACAAGTCTGAGACCTGCCTGGTACCAATTCACCGACCCCGGAGGGATGGATGGCTTGGTGAGCCATGAGCGCGAGATCGAACCATTGACCTCGTGTGCGACGCAGAGCACCTCCAACCACTGCGCCACATGCACTCATGAAGCGCACTTGGAGCAGTGGTTTCATGAGAGTATTAGTAAAATTTCGAAGGGTTAAATCTCTGGCTAGCTCAGTACGTGACCAATTTTTGGAAAAATATCCTCGTATAACACTTCGACAAACGAAAACATTTGTGTTTCACATGCGCATATTTCTCTTTTCGGAATATTAGTAATCCCTAGATAGCGTAAGATTGAAGATTCCAACGCTGTCCTTATTTTCCGAAGAGACCGTTTCTCTGCAGTGGCATCAGAGAAGATACGATTGATTCACATGCGTGAGCATTTGTTTTTGGCTAATCCGCGGGTTAGGGGATGGGAGGAAGGGGTAGGGAGGAGGAGGGAGGGAAGGGGGGGGGGGGGGGGAGGAAGTGCGAATGCTGCAGTTTCGACAGGGTATCAACCGATTGGCATTTTGCGGGTCACCGGGAAGTGCGATTCTTGTTACTCAAATAGGAATTGTCTGCCAGATTCATAGGAAACTTTAGATTAAACGCCTGACTCTCATACTAGAACATTTCCTCTACATCCATGTGTTTCTCGTGCTTCCAATGGAGTAATAGATGATTTGCGCGGCTGATGTGAAACATAATTCTATTTCGATTTTGATTCGTAATAATAGGATCCTATCAAAAACGGTTACGCACCGCTCTAGCCAGAGATATAAGCTTTGGAATGATTACTAAAACTCTTATGAAAAATTCTCATCCAGCGAAGGGTCGAATTCACTTGTCGCCGTTTAGTGGAAAAGATTCATCTCTGCAATGGAATTTGCATGTATTTGGTACAGTTCAGTTGCGCCTTTTCTTGCGAACATTTACGTTTACAACTTGCCTATACCTGATCTAAGATGGAGCTGTCGTGGAGACAAATTTGCTTGCTATTCATACATGAATAGCGCTTAGTGGAAAATGCTAGTGAAATGGCACGCAAGGTTAATGTGGCTCGAGGAGATGATACGACTGCAGAATGGACGGCTAAGAAGTGGTTTGCGAGGTTCCCAAGCTTTCAACTGAGGCCTGCGAACGCTTCAGACCGGGCGAAAGCCACTCATGCTTGTAAGGGTTGATGAAGGCCACCCATTTTTCATCACACGTGCTGATGTCGTCCAAGAAGCCGGTCTTACGAGCGTATCGTCCGAGATCACGATGACCAACTTCAGCGCGTTTCTCTTTCTGGGGCTTCGGTCAATTCATGTGGCACACTGACCTTGATTTCTTCCACACCTTGCCCGGTTCATGCAGAATTCTGGCGTTAGTCTTGAGGCAACAATGGAGCATTTCGGCTATCATGCGGTATATCATTGAGGGATTCTCTTCGAATATCTCAAGGACAGCTTGCCGATCAACTTTCTGTAGACGGCCTGAGCACGACTGATCCTCTAGGGTGTTCTTTCCATCGTTTGTCTTTGCAAACCACTTTCTATCCGTCCTTTTTGCAGCAGTATCATTGTCCCTGCCTCCATTGACCTTGCGCGCCGTTTCGCTAGCATTTTGCACTATGCGCCATTCGTTCATGAGTCGCAAGCGAATTTTTTCCCACGAAAACTCCATCTTGAGTCAAATATAAGCAATTTATACGCCAAATATTGGCAGGAAATGAATTGAACGATACTAAAATCATGCAATTCCATTACAAAAATAATATTACAAAAGCAAAATGGCACGAACTTTCTGCGCAGCCTATCTATTATATATACACATGTGTTTACATATATGTGAATGTATATGCATTTACATATAAGCACATATACATATACATATATATATATATATGCATATATATGCGTGCGTATGTGTATGTATATATTTGGAAGTGACAATTCAACTTTCAACCTTTGGGGGCGGAGTGCGTTCCATAGTTCACGTATAATCCTTCAGCTTTTTCAGCGAATAGAGACTATTCGTTAAAATTTCGGTAGTCATGCAGTAGCTTGTGAAACGGTAATTTTGAGATATACTTTGTTTTGGAAAGACCGTCTAGTACGCGGTACTCAAAAATAATAGCATTTCACCCTCTTCTATTTTGCTCGCCTGGCGCTATATTAGATCTTCTCGAGACTTTTGGTATCATTTACAGCTTCATCCAACTCTTCTCACCACCCTTCTTTTCTAAAAAATGGTTTTAAAATCACTCGTCTTTTCCTAGCCATCCTTATTCATCAATATCCCCATATACTCTCTTCCCTATAATTCAGTTCCAATTTCGCGTGTGCACAATTAACGGCACTTAGATCCTTCTATCTATTTTCATGCCCAGACCAGAACCACTGGCTTTCCAAATTACATACTTGCAGATTGGCATAGCTCCCCTCTTTTCTATTACATGATTTACCTCATTATTGTCAAGTTTTTTTCGACACTCTCCCCACCTTTCATCTCTCCACTACTTCTCCATTCATCTTGGTTTGTGCAGCTGTGTGTGCCAAATTGCACAG